TTCTCCCACACCACTTCCCCCTCTTTTTTTTTAAAAAAGAAATAAACAAAGGAAAATATCCATAGTCCATTTTTTGGGAATGTGGGCTTAGTATTCCAGGCTACTTTCTGCTAGTTGGGGGCGCTGATAATCTTATGGGGACCTAAAGAAAAATTTAGAGTTATGATCAAGTCCTGACTGAAGTATCCTGTGAGTCTTGATCATCTTAGGCAGCAGTCTTGAACCTGTTCTGGATGAAGAACTTGGACATCTGGGCCATCTGTTCCTACCGGAGATTGCTCAGGTGGTCTCCTTTGGTCAAAGATGATTTTTCTTAACTCTGAATAAATCCAGAGCCTCTCATTTTCTGTGGAAACAAAAACAAAATCTCTTCTCCAAAGTAACATACCTTTTGACTTCAATTTTGAAGCCAAGGTATTTTTAAAATATCTATCTTGGATTAATTTTGTAGTATTTATAAGCAAATATCTTTTAGCAGCTGTTGCTCCTTCCTCAGCATTTAAACAAGTTAAAGAGAGCACAATAGCATACAGTATCACGATTCTCTGTGTATTTTTTTATCTTTACGTGGCTTTATTTTAACCTCTATTATTTTTATTTTTATTTTTAACTTTTGGCTTTTTGAGATAGGTTCTCTGTATATCTTTGTTCTGGAATTTCCTCTGTAAACCAGGCTATCTTTGAACTCCCAGAGATCCGTCTGTCTCTGCCTCCCAGGCTATTTGTTTTTTTTTCTTTCTTATTTTAAGGCTTTAACCCTTTTTTTAAAGCCTGAATATATTTTTAACACATTGTAAACCATTTAGAGGTTTTTTTACTCTTTGAATCTCTCCTTACTGTATATCTCTCTTTTTTTGCCACATGGGTCTTTAATTTGCTAAGGAATATGGAGAAAACAACATTTAAAAGCTTTTAAGGCATTTTAAGGTCCTTGCCAGGAAGCAAGCTGTAACAGTGTTTTTATAGTTGGGACTGTCTGCTTGAAAGAGTCAGAGTTTTCCCTGGCAGGATGGCCCAGAAAGCCAGCATTTTAAACAGTGTAGCTTTTTTTCTGCCATGGCTGAAAACCGAAATGTTTTATTTTAGTCTTTTTTAAGCTTTTTTAGGCTTTTTGTGGATGTAGTTGCCCCACGTTGGGCGCCATTCTGTAACATGAGGGGGCCGGGCCTGCTTGTTGGGGATTTTTTGTCCTGCCTGACCCCCCAGCTGTTTAGTCCCAGAGGAAAAAAATCACACAAGAGATCTCTATAAATTATAAAGCTGATTGGCCCATTAGGTCAGGCTACTTATTAGCTAACTCTTATATCTTGATTAACCCATTTTTTTGATCTATGTTAGCCATGTGGCTCAGTACCTTTTTCAGTGGGGTAGCTCACATCCTGCTGCTTCGGTGGTCTGGGCAGGAGTGGGAAGAATCAACTTCCTCCTCCCCAGAATTCTCCTGCTCTCCTTGCATCATTTCCACTTCCTGTCTGGTTTTCCCGCCTACACCTCCTGCATGGCCAATCAGCATTTATTTAAAACATGATTGACAGAATACAGACAATTCTCCCGCACCAATCGTATTTGGGGAAAAGACCTGCATTAAAACCATCACTGGTCAGTAGAATCAGTGCTAATAATGGTAGATAACAGGGGCTGTGGGAGCGCAAGGCTTGGGATGAAGTGCCTGGTAGAAGGAAGGCAGTTAGGTGAGGCGATACTTGGACTGCCTCTCAAAGAAGAGGACAGCACTAGACTGACCCTTGGGGGAAGAGTAGTACTGTGGAAGGACCCGGAGGGTGCTGGCTTTGTGGGTGGTGGTGTGGTGGGTGTGGAGAGGGTAGCTCGAATTTCTGAGTTTGTGTTCAAGGAAAATGTGCTAGAGTTGTACTTGAAGAAACAATAGATCTCCATACAAGCTGTATCACATAAGGCCATGATAGAATCACAGATTTCCTTTTTCTTCCCTCTTTTTTTTAAAAAAATTATTTTTATTTTATATGTGCTGGTGTTTTGCCTGTGTATGTTTATGTGATGGTGTGGAACCCCTGGAACTGGTTACAGATAGTTGTGTGTAAGCGTGAGGAGTCCACAAGAGCCCAAGATAAAGGGATATCAATTATTTACTGGGGAACACTCATGAATAACAATAAGGTAGAGAGCCACCATGGTCCTCTGCCCTGGGGGCACAGGAAGCAACCGTCTCGACTACCATACAAGAGAGAGCAAGAGAGACCTTTCTTCTCCCTTATAAGACCATGTCCGCACACAGAAGTCACACCCAATTGGTGGAAAGGAATTCCTGCAGCATTTCTCCCTTTGTCTAAATAAGAAGGTTTTAAACCTAATACAAAACTATAAATAATAAGAACAAATATCAAGTATTGTCCAGGAGAAAGAAAAGGTAATGACGTACATCAGAATAGAACTACAACCGATAAGAGCAACATCAAGCAAGAAACACAAACACATACTAAATGCCCAGGCTATAGGTAATAGGCAACTAAGAGAGATTATTCCAATAGCTTTCCTATCCTGAGGAGTCTAAGTCTTGTACCTAAAGTGGCATAGCTAAGATATGAGAAGATAGTAGCTGTAACTGTCTAGTCTTCAACTCCATCAAAGATCTGAGAAGGTAATTAAGCAGGAAGTGCAAGCAAGCAACTTCCAAAAGGTGCAAGTAATGACAGAAACAGCCAACTACCTGGATAGTCACCCAAAGTCTCACAGTAACATTGGGGCAACCAACTTTGGCTAAGGCTTAGAATATCTGATAGACCATATTCAGAAGCAGGAAGATTCAAAAGACTAACTTACCCTGTCTTGGCAAGGTTCAGCAGTCCCATTTGATTGTATCCTGCTTGTTCAGTTTGGACAGCATGCATGCTGTCAGCAGTTGAAGCAAGGGCAGTTCTTTGCCCAAGACCAGTTTTGCCAAGAAGAAAACAAGCTCTTAAGTGGAGTATCTTCAGTCCCTAACATTCTCTCAGGAATAGATCTGTGCTGCCAGGAGCAATCAGTCTTACATCAACAGAATCCTGGATTGTTAAAAAATATTTAAATGCCTTTCTTCTCTCTTATAAGATAACACATCCGCACACACAAGCCATGCCCTGAGGCTGATTCCCAAAAAACTATTGGCAGAAAGAAATTTCCACAACAGTTGTGAGCTGCCTTGTGCATTCTGGGAATAGAACCCAAGTTCTCTAGAAGAGCATTTTATGCACTTAACTGCTGAGCACACACCTGTATTCCCAGCACTCAGGAGGCAGAGGCAGGTCGATCTCTGAGTTCAAGACCAGCCTGATCTGTAAGTTCCAGGATAGGCAGGGTTATACAGAGAAATCCTGTCTTGAAACAAAACAAACAAACAAAGCACAGATTTTTCAGGCCCTACCCCACTGCTGAATTAGTCAGGGTTTGGGGTGTAGTGTGTTTCATTTGATTGTTACATACACTGTCGGGTGAAAGTGGAAACAGTTTTCAGTTCGTGAACTGTATTTCTCATGAAATATGTAGTTGATTTTATTTGGCATGTTTATTAAATTTGTGTTTGACATTCTTAATTGAAGAAAGTAAAATAGAATTTTGTGATTTAGTAATTGTTATAGGAAAACCTAATATTCAGATATTTGAAAGGCCAGGATAGTGTGCTAGTATATTTGGAAAGGGGAAAGAGGTCTAGGACCATGTAGAAAAATAAACTACATACAGACAAGTAATAGCAGTACTGGTGTAGAGTAAAGTGATGTGGAATTCCCCTCTGTATGCTGTGAATACCATTGGTTAATAAAGAAGCTGCTTTGGGTCTGTTGTAGCTCAGAATAGGGCAAGGCAGGAATTCCAGGCAGGTAGAGGAGAGATTCGGTGGAGTCAAGGATACACCTTGTAGCCGTCAGAGGAGAAGGACATCCGCACGCCAGTAAACCACGAGCCTCATGGTAAAATATAAAATAATAGAAATGGGTTAATTTAAGATATAAGAGCTAGATAGCAATACACCCAAGTGATTGGCCAAGCAGTATTTTAATTAATACAGTTTCTATGTGATTATTTCGGGTCTGGGTGCCTGGGAATGAACGAGCAGTCTCTGCCAACAGTAAAGTAAGAAGGCACACTCTCCAGTGCCCTAGATGTTGGCTGTATAAGACATTGATTTATAATGTATTCAAATCTGAAATTGGGAAAACTGTTGAAGGTGCTGTTCTAAAATCCCACTCCTAGAAAAAAGCTCTAGGTGGGCAGTGACTGCTGCAAGGGAGAATCGGTTTCCTTCAGGGGTGAGTTCCCACAGTTTGTCTGACCTCAGGGGCCAGCCTTGGCTACACATCCACACGAGCACATAGACTCAGTAGGTTATATATACGTATGTGTCATATATCTCTCTATACATACCTACAACTTCTGTGTGTGTTACTATATACACAGGCATATAGATGTACACAGACATGTGTGACAACAGTAAAGAAGAGACCATGTATTTGGGATTATTTGGAAGAAGGGGGTGGAAGTGATAAGTTACTCATGTATGAAATTATAAATAATAAAATAATAAAACATTACAGAAATAAAAAGGAGATCATGAAGCCAGGTATAGTGGCTTATGAATGTAATGGCCAGCACTCAGGAGGCTGAGTCAGTAGGACTACTAAGAGTTCAAAGCCAGCCTGGACTGTTGAGTGAGACCCTGTGTCATAAAGGGATAAGAGGTATGCACTTTGTGAGTCTTAAAGACGGTGGGTTTAATCTAAGCGAGTTAGGCAATCAGGGCCACATAGCAGTAGGCGGGACAGACTGGCAGCTGTCATGCGTCTAACTCAAGTTTTATTTGTTTTCTTTGAGGGTGTGAAAGCTGTGGGTTTAAATATTACCTTTGTTGAAATGTTGAATATATTTGACAGTACTTTGCTCTGTTTTGCTGAGTGACCAAAGGTTCAGATAAAGCAAATTGTATTTAAATATCAAAATTGTGTCTTAATATATAACTCATATTTTCTTTTCTCCAAATTTTCTTCTAGGACCCATCCGTTACACAGGTGACAAGAAATGTGCCACCAGGACTTGATGAATACAATCCCTTCTCAGATTCTAGAACAGTAAGATTATTTTACCTTGCACTTCTTTTAAATGTTTAAGTGGAAATTAAATAGGGGATTATATTTTAATTATGTTTCTTTCCAGCTCACGGGGTATCAAACAATCTGTGTGAATGCATGTGTTCTTTAGAATTCAACAAGTTAGGACTATTTTTCTTTTATGAGAAAGGCTTTGTTGGTAACTAAAAATTACCATGATGGTTCTAGATAAATTCCACAAGTCAGTGAAGTGCTAACCCGTACTGTGTGAGCTTCTGTACAGTGCTCGGAACACTGGGAAGTGGGAATGTGCTTAGTGATGCTGTGTTGTCTTTGTAGTAATGTGGGGAGGTGTGTTCTTTCTTACTTTTTAAAAAATTTATATGTATTTATATTTTGCAATGGGAACTTTTGGGCCCCATGAAACTGGAGTTACAGATAGTTGTGAGCTGCCATGTGGGTGCTGGGGGTTGAACCCAGGACCTCTGGAAGAGCAGTCAGTGCTCTTAACCACTGAACCATCTCCAGCCCTGGGGGAGACTTTCTTGTGATGGGGTTGTGTCTGGAACTCAATTGTGTGCTTGTCATTTGAATCACAGTGTTTTAGCAGGACTCGACTTCTGCTGTAGTGGTTTCCTTCTAGAAATCTGCTTGCTCTAGGAAAGAATATTCTTCCTCTCAAAATTTCGTGTGGCTTAGGGGTACGAGAAGAACTCCCCTGACGGTGTTCTGCTGCTCTCCATGCACATTAAGAGGGTAGAAAGGACTACATTGTGCCGTCTGTTAAGATCGTAACCAGTTGCATTTAGGTCTTTTTATTAAAGTCTTTTTGATAATTATATTTTACCCAGATTTTAAAACTATTGAAGTAGCTCTCTTCAGCAAATAATGCTATCTTCTGAATTTGTGTTAGTATTGTGCACACTTTACTCAGCAGGTCCCTTGTAGACAGCTGTGACTCTGAAAGTGTTAGTCACCCACAGATACCTCAGTGTGCATATGATTTTCACCAGCCCATACTGATCTTTACCTGGTGACCACTCCTTCCTGGTGGACACTTCTCAGAGTGTAGAGAATTATTCTGAAAGATGATGTAGGTTTTGCCCAGGAGTTTCTTCAGAGTCTATTTTGTTGGTTTGTGATGAAAAAGAAAAATGTATTTGGTCCTTGTTGCCAGTTCTAGGCCTGTAGATCCTAAAAAATGAGTGGAATTTGCTATCTGCTTTATCTTATCAAACTCTCACAGTGACATTCCAAATAGGTATTTTAAGTTTCTTCTTCTTTTTTTAGGAAAGTATCTGAGATACAAGACTTCTGGTTTGGAAGTAGCAGTAACTCATCTGTTTTTGTTTTGTTTTGTTTCGTTTTTTGTAAAGCTTTTGCCTTTTACTCTGGCTTAGTCAGGGTTACTGTTGCTGTTATGAAACACTTTGACCAAAAAGCAAGTTAAGAGGAAAGGTTTTATTTGGCTTACAGGTCCATGTTGTATTCCATCATTGAGGGAAGTCAGGACAGGAACTCAAATAGGACAGGAACTCGGAGGCAGGAGCTGATGCAGAGGCCACAGAGAAGTGCTACTCACTGGCTTGCTTCCCCATGGCTTGCTCAGTCTGCTTTCTTATAGAACTCAGGACCACCAGCCCAGGGATGGCTCCGCTCACAAGAACCACTAATTAGGAAAGTTTCCTACAGGCTCGTCTGCAGCCTGATCTTATGAAGGCATTTTCTCAGTTAAGGTCCCTCCTCTCAGATGACTTTAACTTTTGTCAAGTTGGCATAAAACTACCCAACACACACCTTGTCTAACGCATCTGTTAGAGATAGATGACTAGGGAGCAGAAGTCCTGGCCTTGGAAAATTCGTCACCTAAGTGGGTTTATTTTTTTTTTTAATTCCACATACTTGCAAAGAAGATATATGTAGGACAAATGAAACATAAAATTGTAAATTATGACCCTAGATATTGAGACTTTATAGTTCCAGAAAGGCTATTTGAAAGAGGTGTCTTTAGGGAGGTAGACTTTAATGAGAATCTGTTTAAAATTTAGCAATTCCAGATTTTCTGAGCAGATGCACTACTTCAGAACCAGGAACAGGATTGTTATCAAAGAACTTGGTGCAGCTTGTGCAGCGTTTTTATTTTTATGTTTTAGATCTGTTTTATGTGTATGGGTGTTTTGCCTGTGTGCATGTCTTATACCGTGTTCTCGTGGTGCCAGTGGAGGGCAGAAGAGGGTGTTGGATCCCCTGGAACCGGAGTGTATTAGTTGCAGGCTGCTCTATGGGTGCTAGAAACCAAACCAAGGCCCTTTGCAAGAGCAGCAAATGCCCTTAGCCTTTGCGTTCTCCCCAGCACCCTAAAATTACAATTTTTTAAAAGTGATTCTGTGACAATTTAAATACTCTTGATTAATTAAATTAAAAGATGTGTCTGACTTGAGTCCAAACATTTGTTTTAGTTGACTGGTTGTTTTCACATTTGTTTTAGGAAGGTATTTGTGGAATGGAACCTTCTATATTATTGCATAAGGAATGATGAGTTACTTGAGGTCAAGCAGGCAGATTCTACAGTAGGGTGGCTGAATGTATAACCTTGCTAAGATTTAAACACTTCACATTCTTTTATTAAAAGTAGGTGTCCCGGGGCTAGGAAGCTGGCTCAGCCTTTGGGAACACTGGCTGCTCCTGCAGAAGACTTGGGCTCAGTTCCCAGCACCTGCATGGTAGCTAAGAACCATCTGTAACTCCAGGTTCCAGGATCTGAAGCCTCCCTCTGGCTTCCGTGTACATGGTGTATATCGACACGCACACGCACACGCACACACACACACACACACACACACACACACATACACACACACATCTGATGCCTCCCTCTGGCTTCTGTGTGCATGGTATATATGGACGGACACACACACACACACACACACACACCACTCATATACATACTAAATAAAAATAAATAATCCTTAAAGATTTCAAGTAGGATATGATGGTACATGTCTTTAATACTGACACTCAGAAGGCAGAGACCAGCCAGGGATACGCAAAGAGGCCCTGTTCTGTGGAGCCCAGTTCCAATGGACACATCTACAAAACAACTCCCATACCTGAGACTCAGGGAACATTTCAGAAGAGGGGTAGAAAGATTGTAAAAGCCAATGAATGGACCAGGGAGTTTGCTCTCAGACTGTCCCCTAGGAATGTCAGAAGCTACACCCATGAAGTCTCATTAACGTGACTGCTTAAACAAGGACAACAGCAGTCGACATGCCAAAGTGGATAATGGAAAGCCAGGAGGCATCAGCCCTACACAAAGAACCACAGGCAATTCAGAAATGCTCAGATGGGAGGAATAGTCTTAGAAGAGTACACCAAATAGTTGTCCAATATCAAATGCCCACACTGAAAACATACATACATGTACCATTGTAGAGACTGAGCAGGTTGAATTTTGGACCATATATGTATGTGCATATACACATATGCATGAAACAGCAATGAAAAAGAGGCTGCCTAGTTAGAGTCACTATTGCTGAGATGAACACCGTGACCAAAGCAATTTGGGGAGGAAAGGGTTCATTAGGCTTATGCTTCCTCATCACTGTTGATCACTGAAGGAAGTTGGGACAGGAACTCAAATAGGTCAGGAGCCTGGAGGCAGGAGCTGTTGCAGAAGTCGTGGAGGGGAGTTTCTTACTGGCTTGCTCTTCACAGCATGCTCAGTCTACTTTCTAATAGAACCCAGGAGCACCAGCCTGGGGGTGGCACCACCCACAGTGGTCTGCACCCTCCCATATCAATCACTAATTAAGAAAATGCTTTCTCTGAATGTGGCTGGCCCGAAGTCTTTCTGAAAAGCCATTGACTATGATACTGGGACTTGTTTCCTCTGCATATATTGGATTTTGGGGATCCAGTCTGTTTAGATACTCACCTGCCTGGACCTGGAGGGAGGGGGGAAGGAACTTGAACTTCCCACAGGGCAGGAAACCCTGACTGCCCTAAGGGACGAAGAGGGAGGAGGAGAGGGAGTGGGGGGAGTGGGAGGGTGTTGGGAAGAGGGGCGGAAATGGAAACTTTTATAATTTAATAAAATTTACTCTTAAAAAAAAAAGAAAAAAAAAGAAAATGCTATACAGGCTTGCCTACAGCCTGATCATATGGGGTCTCTTTAGTTTGTTTGCTTATTTGTTTTTCAAGACAGGATTTCTCTGTGTTACCCTGGCTATCCTGGAACTCACTTTGTAGACCAGGCTGGCCTCAACTCAAGGAGATCCACCTGCCTCTGCCTTTTGAGTGCTGGGAATAAAGGCGTGTGCCACCACCTCCTTCTGGAGTCATTTCCTAATTGAGGCACCCACCTGACTTTCTGTTAAGTTGTCACAGGCCAGCCCTTTGGCCGTGAATTTGAAAGAGATCAAGGGAGGAGTACAAGGGAGGGATTGGAGAGTGGAAAGGGAAGGGAGAATGATGTAATTATATTAAAATCTCAAAAGAAGACTTCTTATATGTAATTTTTTGTTGAAAAGAAACTTTAAGGTAGTTAAAGACTACAAAATGAAAAGTTGAATACTTTTATAATTTACTTTTTGATTCACACAGTTATAAATTCAGGAGTTTTCACAAGATGTCTTATAATGCGCACAGAGTGTCTGCTGTCATGGAAAACTACTGAGCACCTGAAACAGGTCTAGCCTGAATTGAGATGTGCTATAAATATGGTGATCTTGAGTTATGAAATAACTATGTTGCTTGAGTTTTAGGTGCATTTTCTTACGAAGATGATGCTGTATATGGTTGGTAGGTTCCCTAGTCTACTTTCTGAAATCTGCTGGGCTGGAACAATGAGTTGATCCCTGAGAACTGGTGCCTGCAGCGGGAATGCTTCCCTCTGACCAGGAACTGGTGTACGTTAGAGTAGAGGGATTCCCGCTCATTGTAGCCATATCTGTGGTAGACCTTGGAGACTTTGGGGCCTCTCTTGTTGTCATGTCTCTCTTCCTCACGCAGGGTTGGTC